GCCATCTCTCCAGCCCTGTTTTGTTTTGTTTTGTTTTTTCAAGACAGGGTTTCTCTGTAGCTTTGGAGCTTGTCCTTATCCAGGCTGGCCTGGAACTTACAGAGATCCGCCTGCCTCTGCCTCCAGAGTGCTGGGGTTAAAGGCGTGTGCCACCACCTCCTGACAATTCTTTTTCTTTTTTTTTTTTTTACTTCTTTTTATGAAACATTCAACACCCACATAAAAGTGGAGAGAAAAATATGTGAAAAACAGCTTTAGGAAATACTATCTTTTTGCCTCAATTTTAAAAATAAGATATCATATATAAGTTGAAGCCTGCCAGGCCCCATTTCCTTCTATCCCACCTCAGAGGCAACATTATTATAAGTGTGGTATTTATCCTTATGTACATTATTATAATCAATCTATAGAAACCCTATAGAACATGTAGAATTATTCTGTTTTATAAGTTTGTATAAATGTTATTAAACTATCTCATACTATAATTTCATTTTTGCTCAATTTATTCTTCCGAAATTTAAAAAAATAACAGATATAGTTTAGTCTTCTATATAGTATTCCATCCTCCTAATGTTAAGAAAGCTATTCGCTACTGTTCTGAGACAGAGTCTCATTGTGTAGTGATGACTTGCCTGGGATTTACTATGTAGACTAGACTAGCTTTGAACTCAACAGGATCCACTTCCCACCTTTCTTCCTTTCTCCCCAAAGCATGTACCACCACAGCTGCTCTTTCATCTCCCCTTCCCCCTTTAGATAATATTTACATCCAGTGGCTCATACAAATGTCAAGTGGACCATCCCATCAATGTAACAAATGGCATAGGGTGGAACACAATACCCTATCATCCTTTGTTAATGTCATAATGTAAGACGTTGTTTGAGCTGAGAACTACAGTCACTTAGTCTTGGTAGGTAGCTGGATGGGCATCAGCAGGCTAATCCGTGAGAACAGATCTCCTTCACCATATCCTAGACTCCAGCTCCTATTTGCAGGGTGTTTTATTAAGGTGAAGAGGCACCGTGACCACAGCTACCATTATAAAGGAAAGCATTTAATTCGGACAGTTCAGAGGTTTAGTTCCTTGTCATCATGGTGGGTGGGAAGCAGCAGCATGCAGGTATGGTGTTGGGGAATGAGCTGAGAGTTCTGCATCTGGATCTGCAGGCACAGGAAGTGACAGTGACACACTAGTCAGGCTTGAGCTTCTGAGCCCTCAAAGTGACACCCTTCCTCCAACAAAGGCACAAGGCCAGACCCAATAGTGCAACTCCCTATGGACATATGGGGACCATTTTTATTAAAACCACCATATGTGGCAACACAGCTTTTAATTTAAAGGCAGCACCTCATTATGTGGTCCAGCCTAGCTTTGAACTTGCTACCATATGTCTCTGCTTCCAAAGTCCTGGAATTACATGTAGGCATTGTCACCCCAGCTACTAGAACCATTTTGTAGAAAGGGAAGTATCCCAATTGCCCCTTCTTAGAATTTAAAATATTGTATGAAATAGAGGAAGGTGGAGTAGCAGGACTTTGTTAAAGGCCATTTGAGAAGGGCTGTTTCCTCCTCTGTAAGTCTGACTATTTAAAATGAATTGTTTTAGATTTATTGATTTTTTTTATATGCATTTGTGTTTTGCCTGCATGTAATGTGTGAATATATACCACGTGCAAGCCTGATGCCGACGGAGGTCAGGAGTGGGTGCCACAGAACTAGAGTAGGGTGTTGTGAATTGCCAGGGCTCTGAACTGCTGAGCCATCTCTCCAGCACCAGCTTGGCTGCTTCACATGTTTATTTTTATTTTTTTTGAGACAGGCTTTAACTATGTAGCCCTGGTTGATTTTGTCTCTTGAGTGCCATCATACCTTGAATAGATTTCTTTTTAAAAGTTTATCTTTAATCTACTAGGTTACATGTGGGTTTTTTTTTTGCTTTTTTTTTTTTTTTGAGACAATTGAGAATTCAGAGGTATATCTGACTCTGGGTAGATACAAGCAAAATAGTTTAAGCTGCTCAAGCCAAAACATAAAGGATGCAAAGACAAACTATTGTTCTCTCCAACTGGGCTTGTCAAATCACTTGACCAACAGGAGGTGGGAGAGGAAACCCTGGCTCAAAAAAAAATTGGTTGGTTGGAACCTCTAGCTTGTGCCTGTAGAATCTGAGAAGTCCCATCTCTCTCTCTTTCTGTCTGTCTGTCTGTCTCCAAATCTCACCCTCTCAGAGAATTTCCAACAAAAGAAAAGGCGACAGAAAGCCCAATTCTGCATTCTTGGCAACTGCAGCAGCTCCTCCCCTGACGTTGCCAGCAGCCCAAGTCTGGGTCTAAAGCATTCAGTCTTTGAACTTGGACACAAGCCCAGCTTGTGGTGGACATGCCATCACCTCTCTCCTACAGGCTATATAAGCTTCCTGCTTCAGTTCTGGCACGTGACTTTTCCTGCCTCCATCTCTGGAACTGGAGAACTCACGCAGGGGGTTCTTTGCTCAAATAATCCTGTTTTGTTTTGTTTGTTTTCTTTTACTTTTTCATTTAGGGTTGATCTGGTTTCCTGCATTAGCAGAGAAACCTATTATCACAGTACAGAAAATCTATTAAAAATCACGTCTTAGGAAAGTAGATATCCCTACAACACACTAAGGAGACAGGAAATCCTCAGCCCCTTCCAGGAGATGATGCTCTTACACACGCAGAAGTCCCCTCTCTGTGCAGATATTTACCGGTCTGCAGTACGTAACTTGTCTAAATTTCTGACCTTTACCTCAGAAAGTTTGTCTTTAACTTTCCACCCTTTCTATCTTCAGTGACTGGCCAAAATCAAAAGTGTATTTCCCCTGACACTCTGGGTGGGTATTTTCCACTTTTCTCTAAAGGATGCACCCTCCAAACCTACCCTTCAATACAGCTGTTTGCACCCCCACCCCACCCCAATTGCAGAACAGGCTTACTTTTCGGATTCCAACAAAAAAGAAGCCAGTCTCTTCTTTCCTCTTCTGAGTCTTCCTCTGGGCAGCGATTAACAGTCGCTATGATACAATGAACCCGGAGCTTCCCTTCTGAATTCATTTCAAAAGTCTTAGATGTGCTGGGTGGTTGTGGCCCACACCTTTAATTCCAGGACTTGAGAGGCAGAGACAGGTGGATCTTTATGACTTCGAGGCCAGCCTGATCTACAGAACTGGCTCCAAAACTACTGAGAAACTCTGTCTCGAAAAACGAGAGAGAGAGAGAGAGAGAGAGAGAGAGAGAGATATCCTGGACTCACCCAGTAAAGTTATTCTGGTTTAATGACATTATTGTTAAAACAAAACACCAGAGAGCAACTGTAGAAAGGAAAGTGCTGTAAAACCTGAAGTTTTCTTTGTTTGTTTATACACAGGAGCTCTCTGTGTGGCTGACCTGGAACTCACATAGTCTGACCTGTTTTTATGCTTCTGTATTTATGGGATCAAATCTTATTAATATTTTTTGAGGCAAGAGTCTCACTGGGGCCGGGCGGTGGTGGCGCACGCCTTTAATCCCAGCACTCGGGAGGCAGAGGCAGGTGGATCTCTGTGAGTTCGAGGCCAGCCTGGTCTATAATAGCTAGTGCCAGGACAGGCTCCAAAGCTACAGAGAAACCCTGTCTCAAAAAACAAAACAAAACAAAAACAAAAAAATCCCCCCAAGAACAAAACAAAACAACAACAACAACAAAAAAAAGAGTCTCACTGGGGATGCCCAGGATACCCTGGAACTCATGGCCAATCTCCTGCTTCAGCCTCTCAGGTACTGAAATAATAGGCATGAGCCTCCTCCATACTGGGCTAAGGCCAAGCCTAGGAAGGGATACTGATCAAACGCAAACTAATAAGGCGCTGCCATTTCACAGCGGCAGGCTTCACCGCTCAGAGAAAACCACATTCACATGTGAGCCCGCGTTAAAAGAACACAGGATCTGGAAAGAAGATCCCGAAAAACACAAACAGCACTGGCAAGGGAGGATTTACAAGGGAAAGCACATCCCTTATGGCTGAAGTGTGGCAGTAGCTACCAAGCTTGCCAGACAACCAATCATAAACGCATTACAACCCATGTCCCACATTATGACCATGGCTTGCTCCGCAGAATTAGGGCACTTGCCAACGGTGACACACAATGTAGGGCTTTTCAAGTCGTTTTAGGAGGGTGGACTCAAGATGAAACACTTAAACAACTTGCTTTCTGCGACAGCGACAATAGTTTTGCTTATAAAGTTTAACTAAAAAGCACAATCTCTTCTGGACACAGTCTTGCCGGCTAACATGCACTCCGGGGTTTCACCTTTGAAAGCATAATAGACAAGAAACTAACAGCAGACTGCAATCGTGCCAACCCGGGTGAATCCTGCAGGCAGACTCATTTCAAACTTTTCCACGCACTTAGCTTTTATTTTGCCGACCCCGTAACGTTCTCTTACAAGAGAGAGAGAGCGCTCATTGAGTCTTCTCTCTTTGGGCGGATTCGGCTCAGAAACTATGAGGGAAAGAGGGATGGGGAAGAATTCTTAAAAGAAAAAGTTTTACCCAGAGTCGCTTAGAAAAAAAAAGGAACCTCTCACGCCATGATTTCGGTGAATTAGCAACAAAGAGGAGGATTGGCCGCTGACGGACACTTCTGAAAAACATTTTTTTTTTCTGGCTCCCGCTAGGGTGGAGGAAGTTGGGTCTCCGCGCGGGAGGGTGTCAGGCCCAGCAACGCCTCAGCGTAGGGCGGCAGGTGCGTGGGCTGCAGCGGCCCGGCTTCTCGGGTCGCCGGTCACCCGCAGGCCCTGGCGCGCAGGGCGGGTGGCCACGCTAGCAGCGACATGCCGGCCGCCCAGGGGAGCAGACCGCGGCCCCGGCGCTCAGGCCCGCTAGCGTCCTAGCCGCCCCGGGCGGCTCGGGGGCCTGCGGCCGCCAGCGGCGGAGCGCGGCGGGGGTGGGGAGGGCTCAGGGCGGCGGCCTGGGTGGGTGGGTGGGGGGAGGGTCTGAGCTCTGCCACGGGCACCCGCAGGGACCCTGGCGGCGGCGGGTGACACTTGGGGCGGCATGGCCGAAGCTGGCGGGGCCGGCTCCCCTACACTGCCGCCGGCTCCCCAGCACGGCTCTCCCCGGACCCTGGCCTCCGCCGCCGGGAGCTCTGCTTCCTGCGGGCCAGCGACCGCGGTGGCCGCGGCAGGCACAGCCGAGGGACCGGGAGGCGGCGGCTCGGCCCGGATCGCCGTGAAGAAGGCGCAACTGCGCTCGGCTCCGCGGGCGAAGAAACTGGAGAAACTCGGCGTGTACTCCGCCTGCAAGGTACCCGCCGGGACGCGCGCGACAGCGGGGTCACGGGCGGGCCCGGACCCTCCTCTCCCCTCCCCCACCCCGCTCCTGGCCTCGGGAGAGCACCGCGGAAGTGCTGCACTCGCTGCGCGCGCTCCCGGCCGCGGCTTGCACAACGTCCCGTAGGGGTAGGGTTTATCCAAATCTGCTCCTCTCCTTCTTCTGGGAATGTTGTTGAGTCTTGGCTTCCAAGTGCCAGGGCTATCCTGGGGCTTTGTTGTTCTGTAGGAGTTTGCGGGAGACCTTTCGCGGGACTGTGCTTGGTGTAGCGAATCACTCTCGGCTGGGAAGTATCTTTTTGGGGGTGGGGGGTGGGGATCTGAGTGTGTCTCCCTGCGCTCACCCTTCCCACTGTGCCCCGCTAGGAGGAGCTGGGTTCGGGAGTGAGCGCGCTGAAGAGTCCCGGAATACTGGCGCTCTGCGGGAGCGAAGGGGCGGAGCGCGGGGTGGGAGGTGGGCACGACCCCAAGCCTGGGTCCTTTGGCGCCTGGCGCCTCGGATGGGCGGCGACAGCCCTGTCATTATTGTGTTATTACTTGTTTAGTGATTGTGGCGCCCTTGGCCGCTTAGGCTGTAAACAAGGTCTGGCAAGGTGACGGCCCAGGCGGCGAGCACTTCACAGTTTGAGGACAGTTTTCTTGCCCTTCTCCTTCCCCGAGGGCTCTAGGCACCCTAGAGCCTCCAGCTGGAGGTGCTTCCTAGGCCGCAGGCGGCGGCTTTGTTTTGACAGGGTGACAGCAGAAGGGGGCGGGGACTTGGCCTTGTCAGCTTTGGCGGCTGGAAGAGGCGCACTCACTCGCACCTCCCGCGTTGCTGCTCCCGCCTACTGCAAAAGGGGTCAAGTTCCCAGCGTCAGCGTTCTCAGCCCCACCCTCCACAGTGAGGAAGGATAAACCTAGCAGATGACATCCCTCCCGGGGAATGCTGGCTGCAGTGTTTACTGGCTCTTCTGAGGGCCTTGAATGGTCTCCTGCAGGCCTTTTTTTTTTCCCCCGAGACAGGGTTTCTCTGTGGCTTTGGAGCCTGTCCTGGTACTTGCTCGTAGACCAGGCTGGTCTCGAACTCACAGAGATCCGCCTCCCTCTGCCTCCCGAGTCCTGGGATTAAAGGCGTGCGCCACCACCGCCGGGCTTCCTGCAGGCCTTTTCCAAGCGGCCACCTCCTGTTTGGTCGTGCCTTTCTGAGCAGTTCCACCGCCGTGCTTTATGCACTTGGTGTATGCTGGAATTGCTGAATGAGCTGGTGGAAATGCTGATGCGGAATCAGATCTGGGGTGGGGGTTTGAGGACCTGCGTTTCTAACAAAGCCCCGGAGATGTGTGTGGTAACTGAGAATATTTTCCACGAAGCAAGTATATTGAATTCTGTAGAGGAGTTGTGAAATACTAACGTCAGTCATATATCCTAAGGAATGCAGAAAAGGTGAATCAGGAGACGTGGGAAAGGTCTGAAGTTCTACTGCAATAGCTCCAAAATAAGGATGTCAGGACCCCTGGCGTCGCACGAAGGCACAAAGGAGAGTGACAGAGAGAACCCAGAGCAATCTCAAGGACTAATAAGCTTGACTTTTGAAGCCTCTCTGTGTTTATGGAAACCCAGTCAGCTACTTCAGTCCTGCCTGGGATTCAGTATGTTGCCAGAGTTCCCATCACCAGCACCCATCCTTCATACATACTGCTGTTGTGTAGTATCTGAAAATTTTCCTGGTGTTTCAGGCATGCATTTTTTATACTTTAAAAAATTTCCCCAGGTCTCCCTATGAAGCCCAGGATGACCTTGAATTCCTATCTGCCTATGATTACAGTTCTACCACTATGCTCCCATTGGCCTTGATATTTAAAATTTTCCTGAGTAGTGAAACATACCTTCAAGTATGTGTGTGTGTATATATATATATATATATATATATATATATATATATATATATTTGGTTTTTCGAGACAGGGTCCATATTTTTTTTGACAAACTCCTAGGAAAATCTGCTATTCAAGTCCTTTCTTCCTGCTTCTGTGAAACTTTGGACATGTGGAAGTTTAGTGTGTGTATGGTGTGTGGGTTTGCATGTACCAGAGCACTCTGTAGAGGTCAGTTCTCTGAGAGAACGGGTTCTGGGATTTGAACTCAGGTTGTCAAGTTTTTAGAATGAGCACTTTGCCGCCTGAGTCATCTCACCAGCCTGAAAGTGTATGTTCATACTTGTAGATTTATTTAGTAAGTGTTTGAGGAATTCTAATTGGGGATCAGTTACAATGGAGTCCAGCGAAGCCTTCTTTGAGGGTTAGGGGCTGGGAGTTGGGGAACTCAGGGGCTGAGGCTCCTGTGGACAACTCCCTAGAGGATGTGTCATCCTGATTACAACTTTTGGCTGGCTGGAGTTGGGTGGGGTAGGGTTTCTTCTGTGAAGAGAAACTGAAAGCAGTTTTGAAAACTTGGAATTGGGCCAGTCAGAGTCCTCACTTTGTTGGGGCCACTGGATTGGGAGAGGGGTACTCAGGGATCCAGGACTAAGCTGGGAGGGACATTATCTTAGATTTAAAAAAAATAAAAGTTTATTTTATTTTCAATTATGTGCATTTGTGTGCACACAAGTGCTCAGATGATTGTGTTTGCTTTAGACTGTGTTGGTTGGGTCAGACACTCTGTGGCTTTTTATCAGCTTGTGTTTGTGCTTAATGTAAGCAACCCACAAAGGACAGAAGACTCAGCCTGGGCCAGTGGGAGAGCAAGCGAGGTGGAAAAGTTAACTCTGGGAAGATACAGTTTCCTGGGGGCCACCGGAAGAAGAGCAGGCCTGAGACCAAGACAAGATGTGGCCCAGAGAAGAGAGGGAAAAGTCTGTGTGTTACAAACAAACGTGTTTTACAGGCTCTAGCCTAGAGTTCTTTGAACTGTGCCTGGTAAAGGTTGCATCAGAGTTTCTTGACTTCTGTGACACAGCCAGAGAGATAAGGACTATATCGTGTAGACCTTGCTGACTTGTGGTCCTTTAGTTCCCCTATTCCTGAGTCCACATTCTGTGTTTGGCCTGGCCTTGTGAACAGTTCTCTTTCTATGTCAGGTCTTTGCGTGGTTCCTTTGGGATTGATCTGAAAACTCTTCCGCCCTCTTGGAAGTTAATTCTCCATTCTGGGGAGGGAAGCTTATCACAAGGGTTCAGCATTGATCTCATATGCAAACACACAACCGAACCCTAGCCAAAAACAAATAACCCCTCAAATTTGATCTCAGATATCTTGTGGTTCCTTTGTCGCTAGTCAGCATTTTCATTAGAAATTACCCAAATTCTTCCTTCCTGCAGATATGTGATTTACTTGTTTATTGAGATAGAGGCTCTCTGTGTAGCCCTCGCTACCCTGAAACTCCATTTGTAGAACAGGTTGACCTTGAACTTACAAAGATCCTCCTGTCTCAGTACTGAGATTAAAGGTGTGTGCCACCTTGGCCAGCCTTATTAATTTATTTTAATATAGGCTGATTGGGAGCTAAAGATCCCATACTCTTAGCTTGGTAAGTGCTGGAATTATAAGCCTGCCTCCAAAGTATAATTTTTTGCCCTGTTTAAGTCAACTGACTGGATTCTGTGATGAAATTAGTGAGTGAGTAAATGAACCAAAGAAGAAAAGATCAAACTGCAAAATTTACCCCATTTCTCATCAGGTCCAGTCAGGGCAAGTGTACAAGGTGATGATTCCCTTCTGCTTGGCCTTGTGCAGATGAGTCAAACACGTTTAGGGAAGTGAAAACATAAATAATAGCCTCTCCTCAGTCAAATCCTTGACTCTGTGATGAGTACTTGTTTATATTGGGATCTAATAACCATCAGCTTCACCAAACCGAGACAGAATAGTTATCTAGTTAAGGTATCAATGGTGCAAGAGTCCAGTGAATAGCAGAAAGGGAACTGCCAAAGGCCCTCTGATGACTGATATCAGAGTACTGTCTAGATAGAGACTGGAAATGGAGCTTTTTTGAGTACAGCCAGGTTATTTCTAGTGTCTAATAAAGGGTTTGTATAGCCTTATGCCTGTGTCACTGAACCCCAAATGAATCCATGGACTGAGTCTGGTGCAGAATTCATGAGGGTCTTTGTTTAACAAACCTCAAGTCTGGACCTCACTCTTGTAGCACACAACACAGTGGGTGAGTCCGGGGAAGGAGAGCTTTTAAAGGGGAATGGCCACAAGTAGGGTGGATGCATGTTTTGGGGTCGTGGGATTGGTTGGAAAGGGTGTACAGAGTAAGATAATTTCTGAGATCTTTGGTTAACTTTGGGCACGAACTGTTAACAAAGGACCACAAACTGCTGTCGGGATATCTGCAAGGACTAGGATGTCTGCAGAAAACATCTGGACCTCGTTAAGTTTTATGGCTCTGCTCCTTAGTTCCTTAATTGGCTATTTCTAGGGTATCCATTTAAATTTCGCTATCGCAGCACATTCCTAGAACTGAGGTCGGCCCCTGGTCACTATATGGTGTTAAGTAAAAAATAATAAGAAAGAAAGGCAGCTCCGCCAGGGCAAGAAATCCAGTTAGGTCCAATTAAACCAAATCAAATTGCCCATCGTTTTAAGAATGACACTCTCGGGTGGTCAGCAAGGTTGGGGGGTGGAGACAGAACAACAGGGAGCCCAGGCAGACTCGAAAACCACGCGTTTCTCCTTTGGGATCCAACTTATATACCCTGTGGAATGCTGGGATTTGGAGTCCAGAGCAATGCAACTCCCAGGCCAGGTTGGCTGGGACAGATGCCAGGGGCTGGGGGCTGCGCTCCCAACTTAACATATGGCTTAAGATGAAGCCCCCTTCTTTAAAGTGGAACCTGAAAAGTCAGATCCTCATAATAGAAGCTTTTAAAATATTATTATTATTATTATTGGTTTTTTTTTTTTTTTTTGTTTTTCGAGACAGGGTTTCTCTGTGGCTTTGGAGCCTGTTCTGGAACTAACTCTGTAGACCAGGCTGGTCTCGAACTCA